CGGCTCGGGGGCTGTCCCGAAAAGGGGTGCATCGGGGGGTGGCCCGGGTTCTCCGGAGACGAAGCGTCCTGCCAAGAAATTGAAGACCGCGGTCAGGAAGGTGTCCGCTAGGTCGGCTGCTCGTGAACGCAATCCTACGGGAGGCGTTCTGCCGGGTGAGGCCACAGGAGGTGCCAAAGGCAAGGAGGCGATTGGGTCAACTGGCGGGGATCCCGCCCCAGGGGCTTCCTTGCGCCCGACATCGATGCGAGGCCTGTGCCGCGTCGGTGGGTCGGTCAGCGAGGAGTACCGGACTCCGGGCATGATCAACCTTCCTACTAGTGCGGCGGGAACTCCCTATGTTCCTCGGTGGTCCGCCCTCAAAGCGGACAGCCGTGTGTGGGCTGATGGGTCGATGGCCCAGGAGTTCATCCGGGGTGCGCTGCACCCGATGTTGGCCAAGGAGCTTTACGGCTTGACCTCGGAGGCGTTGGCGGATCGGGCGGCCAAATCCTTGGTCTGGGTCAGTACCGACACTTTCCTTCCGTCTTTTGGCTACTTCCTATGGGTCTTGACGTCATATCTCGGTGCAGGGCCTACATTATGCCATGGCTTTGATCGACCGGGCCCTTGATGCTGGGCGGGTGATCGAGCGACAATCGAACGCCTTCGCCGCGTTGCGCCTCGAGAATGAAGAGCTAAGGCGGTCGTCTGGCCCGGAGGTTGTAGCAGCCGTCGAACAGCGCGCCTCGGCTTTGGAGGAGGAGGTGAAGCGCCTGAAGTCTGAGTTGGAGGAGAGCCGGGCTCGCGCCCGGACGCTGGACGACGAACTGCAGACGCTCTCCAACGATATTGAGTCCGCTCGGTCTTCGGCTTGGGCGGCTTAGGAGGCCCTGAAGGAAGAGCAGCGAGCACTGCCCGAGAGGTTGGAGAGAGCGGTTGTCGAGTACAAGGCGTCCGCGGGGTTTGAGCGTGGCCTGGTAAGGTCAGGGCGGGTGACATACGAATTCGGCTATCGGGTGGCCTGTGCTCGCGCCCGATCGATTCATCCGGAGTGGGAGCTGGAGCCGGACCCTTTTGCCGACCACCCTGCGGACGATGGCGTGGACATGTCGGCAAGCGTTCCCTTCGATGACGGGCCCGAGACGCCTCTTCCGTGTTGATCTGTATTTCACCTTTTTGCTTTTGGTCGGGTCGGCCTTTGGTCTTTGTATCGCCTTCCCATTGTATGTACAGATCTTTTATATTGGAGATGGTTCATTCTGACAATTATTGCGTGAGTTTCTCGTGATACATGCCCTTGTTTGATTTTTCTTTACGGGTAGAACTTCTTCAGATTTGTTGCATTCCAGGTCCTCGGTAGGTGGTTTCCCTCCATAGTTTCGAGTCGGTAGGTTCCTTCTCGGACCATATCGTAGACTCTGTATGGGCCTTCCCAGTTGGGTGCGAGCTTACCCCCCGCCCGGGTCGGGTTGGTTACCTCTGCCTTGCGGAGGACGAGGTCTCTGATCTTGATCGATCGGGGGCGAACTCTTTGATTGTATATTCGCGCCACGACCTTTTTATAGGCTAGGGTGCGCAGGTGGGCCTCGGCCCTCCTTTCCTCGAGGAGGTCTAAGTGCGCTCTCAGGCCTTCCTCAGAACCATCTTGTTTGTAACCCGAGGCGCGAAAGGTTGGGAACACCATTTCGGGCGGGAGGACCGCTTCGGTCCCGAATGCAAGGCTGAATGGGGATTCGCCTGAAGCCGTCTTCGGGGTTGTCCACATTGCCCATAGAACGCTCGGCAGCTCATCTACCTAGGTTTCGCGCGCGCCCGAGGTTCTCCTTCTGAGGCCCTCTAGAATCGCCCGATTCATTACCTCGGCTTGTCCGTTGGTCTGGGGGTGTGCTACCGAGCTGAATTTCAACTGTATTCCATACGATGAGCAGTAAGCTTTAAACTTAGCGTTGTTGAATTGGGTCCCATTGTCGGTGATAATGGCCTTCGGGATCCCGAACCGAGTGATGATGTTCTTCCATGTAAAGCTTTGAATTTGCTTCTCGGTGATGGAGGCCAAGGGTTTGGCTTCAACCCATTTTGTGAAATAATCAACCCCGACAATGAGAAAACGCCATTGCCCTGAAGCCGGAGGAAAGGGGCCGAGGAAGTCAAGTCCCCACTAGGCGAAGGGCCAAGCGATTTCCATCGGAGTGAGAGGGACCGCCGGCTGGTGTTGCAGCCGGGCATGCTTTTGGCACTGTTGACATTGTTGCACGTATGATGCGGCGTCTCGGCACATCGTTGGCCAGTAGTATCCTTGTCGGAGGGTCTTGAAGGCCAAGGTTCGACCTCCGATGTGTTCCCCACAAATTCCTTCGTGAAGCTCGGCGAGGACGGTGCTGGCCTCGGGTGGTGCGAGGCAGAGCAAGAGGGGCTGTGAGAAACCTCTGCGGTACAGCTTCCCGCCGACTAAGCTATACCAGGCCTGTGTTCGCCTTAGTCGTCTTGCTGCCGTCGGGTCGTCGGGCTCCGTCCCGTCTTTTTTGAAGCGGAGTATCTCCTCCATCCAGTTGGGCGGGGTTTGAATCTCGACGACGTCGCAGGATGGGATAGTTGGCGCCGCCATGGGCTCGGTCACGGAGGTTTCTTCTGAACCCCGTGCGGAGGCCGCTTTCGCCAGAGCGTCGGCCGATGCGTTCTGGGCCCGGGGTACTTGAGTGATCGAGAATCGGCTGAAGAGACAGGCGGGCCGCTGTGTTTCTGCCAGGTACGATGCCATTGTGGGATCCCGGGCTTCGTAGCTCCCATTCACGTGTCCTGTCACCAGTTGAGAGTCGTTGAATACCTCGAGGTTGTCTACCTGCATCTCCAGGGCGAGGCGTAGGCCATGTAGTAGCGCCTCGTACTCGGCTTCGTTGTTAGTGGCTTGGAATTGCAGCCGGATGGACCTCTCGTAGGTTTCTCCGGTGGGGCTCCTGAGGACAAGTCCGACTCCGGCTGCGCCGGTGATGGCCGAGCCGTCGACGTGCAGGGTCCACGTGTGGTTGGTATCCTTCCGTCCGTCTGCACAATTCTCGGGCGTTAGTTCAGAGATGAAGTCGGCCAGTACCTGGGCTTTAATGGCGCTCCGAGGAGAGTATTGGATGTCGAACTCGCCGAGTTCGACCGACCACCGTAACATTCGGCCTGACACGTCGAACTTGGATAGGATTTGCCGCAGCGGCTGGTCAGTGATGACTTTGATTGTGTGGGACTGGAAGTATGGGCGCAGCTTTTGCGCTGTCTTTACCAACGCCAAAGCCAGCCTTTCGATTGGGGGGTACCGCGCCTCGGCTCCGGCGAGGACGTGGCTGACGTAATAGATAGGCTGCTGCTTCGACGGTGCTTCTCGGACCAGTACCGAGCTGACTACTTGCGTTGACGCCGCTAGGTAAAGGCCCAGGATTTCTCCTGGCTCGGGGGAAGCGAGTCGGGGCAGGCGGGTGAGGTACGTCTTTAGGTCTTCAAAAGCTCCTTCGCACTCGGGGGTCCAAGTGAAGTTATTGACTCGTTGCAGGGCCTGGAAGAAGGGCAGGCATCTGTCGCCCGACCTGGATATGAATCTGCTGAGTGCCGCCAGCTTCCCCGTGAAGCGCTGCACCTCTTTGACGGAGCGGGGTGAGTGCATCCGGGTTATGGCCTGTACCTTTTCCGGGTTGGCGTCTATTCCCCTCTGGTGGATGACGAAGCCGAGGAATCTTCCCGAGCTAACCCTGAAGACACACTTTGCGGGGTTCAAACGCATGTTGAATTGCCTGAGGGTCTGAAAGGTTTCTGCCAAGTCGGCCAGGTGCGTCTCTGCGGTTCTGCTCTTCACGATCATGTCGTCCACATATATTTCCATGTTCTTGCCGATTTGGCATTTGAACAGCTTGTCGACCATCCTCTGGTAGGTTGCCCCAGCGTTCTTTAGGCCGAATGGTATTACCTTGTAGCAATATATCCCTCTGTTGGTGATGAAGGCGATATTCTCCTGGTCTTTCGTTGCCATGTGGATTTGGTTGTAGCCCGAGTATGCATCCAAGAACGTAAGGAGTTCATAACCTGAGGTGGCGTCGACTAGCTGATCTATCCTCGGGAGCGGGTAGTAGTCTTTGGGGCACGCCCGGTTGAGATTAGTGTAGTCAACGCACAATCGCCAGCTACCATTAGGCTTTTTAACGAGGACTACATTCGACAGCCACTGGGGGTACTTTACTTCGGAAATGAATCCGGTCTCTGTTAGTCGGTCGATTTCTTCGCCGATCGCCTTCTGCCGGTCGGGGGCGAACTTCCGTGGCCTCTGCTTCACAGGCTTGGCGTCGGGATTGATGTTGAGCTGGTGTTCAGCTACCGCCCGATCGATCCCTGGCATTTCCTTGGGCGACCATGCGAATACGTCGACGTTTTTCCTTAGGAACTCGATGAGCTGGAGCTGGTTTTCTTTGGGTTGGGCCGCGCCGATTTTCATAGTCTGACCGGGCCGGTCTCCCCTTAGTGGCACCTCGGTAAGCTGTTCTGGGGGTTCAAGGTGCGTTGGTGCTGAGGCCTCTTCTTGGCAATCTGGGATGTGGGGGCGTACCCTCTTCGGGAGGGAGACCGCGGTAAGGTAGCACCTTCTTGACTCCCCTGGGTCGCTTCGTGAGTCTCCGACCCCTGCCGAGGTGGGAAACTTGATGGCTCAGTGGTAGGTTGAGACTACCGCTTTCAGCTTGTTGAGCGTTGGGTGGCCGAGGATGACGTTGTAAGCCGAGGGCAGGTTGACCACCATGAACGTAGTCATTATTATCTTGGTCCTTGGTTCCTCCCCAATGGTGACAGGGAGTGTGGTGGTGCCGAGCGGGGAGATTGAGTCTCCGGTGAATCCCGTGAGTGCCGAGCTCATGGGGATAAGGTCCTCGGTGGGCAAGCCGAGCTTCTTGAAGGCGTCGAGGTACAGGATATCGGCGGAGCTCCCAGTGTCGACCATTACCCTCTTTACCCGAGCGTTGGCGATCTGGATGGAGATTACCAGAGCATCATCATGATGGGAACGTTCCCCCTCCCCGGCCCCAAAAGAGATTTCGGGTTCTAGCTTGGGTCGGGGGCGTTTCTCGATCGAGCTCCGGGCATAGGATTTCCTTGCGCTCGAGCTGCTGCCGCCCGCCGCGTCCCCGGATGACATCGATCTGCCTTTCGACGGGCATCCGGGGACGCGGGGTTGCTTCTCGGGGTTCCTTGAGATAACGGCCGAGGTACCCCCTTCTGATCAGCTCCTCAATCTGGTTCTGGAGGTCGTGGCAATCCTCTGTGTCATGGCCATGGTCTTGGTGGAACGTGCAGTATTTCGATCGATTTTTGTAAGTAGCTTTCATGGGATTTGGAGGTCGCAAAAGACCTTTCTCCCTGATATGGAGGAAGATCTCGGTACAAGGTGTGTTGAGTGGGAGGGGTGGAGGCCTCGGGAGCCTCTGCTCGGGGTGGTCGAGCCTCCGACGGGATTGCGGGTTGACCGACGAGGTGGCGACTCGGGGTTGCTCGATCCGCGGTTTCTTCCCGACCGTGCGTCTTCCTACGGCCAATGCTACGCCGGCGACGTATTGGTTGGCACGGTGGAGCATCTCGGGGATAGTGGCCAGCGGCTTCTCGATTAGTGACCAGAAGAACCTTGAGGGTTTCAGCCCCGTTAGGAATGCTTGCATGATCAGAGAAGGGTGAGTATCCGGGTACCCGTGGATCTCCGTGGCGAAGCGTGTTACGAACTGCGCGAGTGTCTCCTCCTCGTGCTGCGATAGCGCGAGCAGGGCGGCTATGGAAGGTTGAGGTCGTGCGCTGGTAAGGAAGTTTTGTTCGAACTCCTTGGCGAACTGGTCGAAAGATGCGATTGAGGATTGGCACAGCCGGCTGAACCATGCGCGTGCTAGTCCTCTGAAGGTGGTCGGAAATGTACGGCACATTAGCGCGTCGGACGTGCCATAAAGGGCCATCTGAGTCCTGAACGCGGCGACGTGCTCTGCTGGGTCGGAGCTGCCATCGTATGTTTCCAGAGCCGGCACCCGAAAGTTGAGGGGAACCGATTTTTCTTGTATTTCCTGGACAAAAGGGGATCCGCCCGAGGGGCCCTCGCCTGACTCGCTACGTGACTTCTGGAGTTCACGTCGGAATTCGTCCAGGCGGCGGTTGACTCGGGAGAATTGTACTTTAACGAAGCTGTCCGCTGAGTCGGATGATACGGTGTCGGGTTCGGAGTGACGTCGCGCAGCTCGGGAGGGAGCAGGAGAATCGCGCACGAGCGAACTCTCACGGTGAACGGCGCCGTCTCGGGTTTCACCGATTACATCCTGTCCCGCGCTCGGCCTTTGTTGTGTCAGGTCGGCGGAGGCGTCAGCCAACCGCTTGATTTCCGGAATAAGTGGGACAACGGTCTGCATTATTTCTGCCATTCCTTGCACTTGCTTGGCGAGGGCGAAAAACGCCTCGGGCGGTACGGCCGGGGGGCCGACTGCGGGTAATGGGGGTGGCATCCCTGAGTCGTTGAACAGGCGCCAATAACGATCCGGCGTCGACGTCGGCATTTCTCTATCTCCGTGGGCGATGGACTCGACGGGGTTAGCGTGAGGATCGCTCGACATTCGGGCCCTTCCTCTAGCGCCAATCTGATGCGGACTGCACCTGTTTAAGCCGCGACTTCAGGGACGGTACGGCTCGGTTCAAGGGTCCGGAATGTCGGGGATCGATGGCAGGGCCTCTTGACGTCTTTTGGAGAAGCGTTCACGGGAGTCCGATCGGGACGTTGTCTGGAGAAATGGCTAGCCCCAGCGTCGAGGTGGAGTGATCGTCGTGTACCTGCACAAAGGTCGGACCGTATCTTCGGCCCGACCCCTCCGATGGTCTAATTAGTGGATGTCAAGGGGATTTCTCCCCGAGTCCCTAGTGTCCCCCCCCTGGCCCTTTAGGGCTCAGGGCTCTTTATAGTTTGGGCCTGATACTACCTGACGTTCCTTCCTGTCAGAGCAGGGTCGTGCCTCTGACTGGATGTGACATCGTAATTAGGGTCGCGTGGCGGGTCATCCTGTCGTAGGGTATGGGCGGCCTCGGTCGTCGCCTTCTGCATTTGGGTGAACGTGCAGGATATGGGTGACGGGGCGATTGACTGAGAGCGGGTGACGTTGGCGACGTCGGGTCGACGTTAATGCCCGCTTACTCGGGCAGAGTGTGAGCCACGTGCAGGTGGCGTCGTGTCACGTCGTGTTGTCGTTACTGTCCGGGGGAAGTCACTTTGGTTGACAAGCCACAGGACGGCTGGCGTCACCGTCCGTTTACTCGTTGACTCTGCAGTGGCTCCCCTATCAACATGCAAATCGTGTTGCGACCAAAGTAAGCGCAGTACAACTTAACGTGTTGCAATGAGAACCGACAACTGTTCATGGTTTAGACTTTAGATCGATGTTTGACGTTTTCGCATGAACCTATACGAAATGGGCAGCATATATCGATTTGAGCACAGATCCACTTCTGTTTTAGACAGTTTGATCTGAATCATAAAAAATCAAACCTATGGGGCTGCCGTGAGTCCTCTTCGTCCCGAACGCGCCTTCTTCCATTTTATCTTATGCAACCGTCCGTTGCCCCGTCATGCACTTTCATCACCTCTTCCCTTTCTATCCTTCTTCTCTTCTTTCCTCCAATCTTCTTCATCCTTTTCTTCTCCCACCGCCCTTTCCTCTTCTTCTTCCTCCTCCTCGAGTCATCGATAGTACTAATAATTCGCAAAATGATTGATAATCCTTAGTTTAGTTTGAGAATTAAGTTTTAGGTTTTGGTCACCTTAGCAGAAGGTGTGGCAGAGCCTCGGTGGCTGTCCGATCCTCGACGACGCCTTTCTTTTCTTAGTAATTCCAGCAGTTTCGTGTTCTCTTCATCCAGAATTTTGTTTTCTTCAAAGAAAACCTTGACCTTGAATGCATTTAAAGCACTAGACTACTTATCATGATACAAAGAGGGGAAAAAGAAACTGAATCAGATTGAATACCTCCTCTTCAGCTCTGTGGAGATTTGTCCTCAAATGTTCCTTGTCCTTCTTCAAGGATTCAGCTTCAGCAGCCAATGATTCTAGCTAAAATATAATATTCAACAAAGTCAATAAAAAGGTCAGCATAAAAGATTAAGCACACAGCTGGGCTATAAATCAGCAGTCTATATATATATATATATATATATATATATATATATATATATATATATATATATGAAATGCATAAAAATCGAAAATAACATCATCAAATCTTCAAGAGAAAAGGCAATAAATTTTAGACTAAAAGAAATAATATATTATAGAACCTACTCTGCCAGACCCTAAATAGCCAGACATGGACAAGGACTATGAATGAGTCATTAGGATTGACTCAACACAATGATTTCGTGAACTTCTAGAGTTGAAAATTCAAAGTATAAGCGACCGAAGGAAACTGACCATTCTTTAGAGATGATAGATAACAAAGATGTAGGCTGAAATTAAGCATAAAATTAAGGAAATATTCATATTAGATTGAAATATGAACAATTGTTTTTCAAAAAAAAAAATCAGTTTGAAATATTTTAAAAGGACACCCCATACATGCTCCAACGTTGAGTGAAATTTGGTTGGATATTTAACTTACAAGCATGGATTTCATAAACCAACATGTTTCACTAAATTTTATATGGTGTAGGACCTCATACGACAGAGTGGCAAAAGTTTATGGTCATTACAACAGCAAAACTATTATAAAAATTTTTATATGATATCTCAGTAGAGACATCCCAGCAGTTAGTGCCAGTGTTGCACAAATGATATATCTTAGATTCGAGTTTATGTGTGAGCATCTCTCGTACATCATTTGATTTAATCAAATTTTCCTTTAAAAAAAAATTCATGTCATATGGTGTCTACTGGCTGAATGGATAAACAAACTATTCTATAAAAAAGACAGACACAAACTGCAGCTTTCTCCAAAATACAGGAGAGACAAAAATGCATTTAAAAGGAAAAAGGAGAAGGATGAAATTGTTTTCGTTTCAATGCCAAACGCTGCAACTTTTTCTTAGCAAAATTATGAGAGAAAAGGTAAATGGTTGATGATGCACAACAGCAACTTCAGAGAGGTAAAGAAGAGAAAAAAAAAGTCAAAATTAAAGCAATGATCCACATAAAAGAGCGTAATCAAACAATTGAAGCAGAGACGAAAGATGTTCAGATAAATATTGTGTAACCAAGAAAATAAAAAAAAGGAAATATCAGGTCACACCTTTATTGGATAAGAGTGACATGAAACTCTACAAGCAAAATGATGAGGATACTGAAAAAATAATTAAAAAAAAACTGTGCAGAGGTCAAAATTAGAGATCAACAATAGAAATGGGGTTAATCACTCATAATCCCAAGTAGCTATCCAACAATTCCTTTAAGAGGGAGAATATCCTAAAGGTTACTATCCAACTAATGATTCTACTATATTCAATTCAAGAATCCTCTTTTTCCATATACATAACTTACTTGAACTCAAGTTTTAAGTTTTAATTCAAATCTAAAATTAATGAATTGAAACTTGTTGACTTTTAAGTCTTCTTCTGTCGCTGTGCTTCTAAAACGGCAACATAATCATAATATTCTAGGATGTAAGAATATTTCTCTGTAAGTTTGTTCAGCCAATCAGACAATGCTCCCAGCAAATTAATCATACATCAAGACCATTAATATTGCACTCGAGAGACATGATTTATCTCTCAAATTACTTATAGCAAAAGAGCGACATACAAAAGATATTGCTAGTGGCGAAGGTTTTTTCCTTTTGAGTATTGCATTGTTAATTTAATTGTAGATGCCAACTTACAATCAAATATGATTTCAAATTAATAACTTTTAGTCAATTCTGAACTCTAAATATTCATATCCAGAAGGGAAAATAAAAATAAAAATAAAAATTTACTTGTATGAGTTAGACTAATACTAGTTGATATATTGATGGGAAGGACGGTGGAGAGGGAAGGGAAATAACAAATTAAACGAATTAGGGTTAGGGTTCTTACGCTAGAAATGTGCTGCAGCTGTGCCCGCAACTCCTCGTTCTCCTTCGCTAACTCATCACAAGATTCCATTATCCTCTCCAAGTCGCGCTCGTACAGAGAGCACTCCTCCTCCAACTTGCGGCAGTGATTCACCAGATCAGCGTACTGCGATGCAATCACCTCCTTCTCCTCCACGCACCTCCTCACTCCCTGGGCGTTCATATTCGACTCGGCCTATCAGTCACAATCTTTTCCATCATGAATCAGATAAAAGGAAAAGCCACCAAAAGCCGAAGAGAGAGAGAGAGAGAGAGAGAGAGAGAGAGACCGCGATGAGAGTAGGTAACGAACCCTGGACTGCTCTAATCTCTTGCTGGACTCCTTGAGGCGGTCCTCCAAAACAAAGATCTGATCTTGAAGACGGCGGCGGGTGTCCTCGGAGACAAGGAGCTTCGGGCTCAGGCTCTCGACGGACACCGGGAGGCCCAACGAGATCACGATGGATTCTTTGATGTACTCCTCGGTGCCCGGCGAAAGATCCATGGTGTTCCACGGAATGAGCGGAAGGAAACCCAGGGAACGCCAAACCCTAGGAACACCGGCGATCGGTCACTTGGGGCCGGAGAACCGATCAAGAACAGGAACCCCCAAAGAGGAGAAGGCGGAGAACAGGATCCCGTCGATCGATCGAGCGGTGAAGAGAGGAGGGACTGAAAGACTTGTCGGAGGAACGTGAAGGAGAAGGGGGCGGGAAGGGACGGCATCGACGGGATTCAAATCGAAAAGGGGCGGTTAGCCGTCGCAGGTGGCGCTCTCAACAACGGGAAAGGAGCGAGAGACGTACACGTGGCGTATCGAACACTCGGTCCCGATGGAAGGCGTTATCGGGTTGAAACCAATACGGACGTACATCCAATAAGCTAATGGATCCAAGAAATGATAACCCACATTCGAGATTTCGGGTCGGATTTTAGCCCACTGTTTGATTAGGTCGTAGCTTATGTAATCATTAAAAAAAAGAAAAAATAAGAAAAATACAAATCAAGCCATTATTATAAGGAGAAAAGTGTTTCTTTTTGTGAAAACAATAAATAACGAGGAGATAGAGATCGATTTAATCAACAACATGTTTTGATATATGAGAGAAGTTTATCACGTGCTGCTCCTATATCAATCATGTTACCCGTTAGTTAATCGTAACGATTCATCATCCATAACGTTTGACATTTCAATTGACTCCTCCTCGTTTTCAAGTTAACCTCCCACTGCACCTGCTTTAAATTATTTATAAATCAAAATTATTATTATTATTATTATTATTATTATTATTTATGTGCAGGACAAGATCATGTAATTTAGCCATTGTTTTATTGAAAGCTTTCGAGGACACAAACTACTAGAAATACAACACACGACGGAGACAGCACAACCACTTCATACTTTTCTTTGTTGGACCGATGTTGATGTGATCTGAGGGTCCATAGCTCGGACGATAGATGGAGTAGGTAGCATGTTTGATTGGACATTATGTGAGCCACTCCCCTCTTATCATAAATAATGTTTGGAACAAAAAGACCCACTGGGAAGATTAGATGTGATGTTTCCTTCGTTGACATGTTGCCGTCATCATGTCATCCAAAATACTTTTACGAATCGAGGTTATCTAATGTACGATTGATTACATTAAGGTGTCTACTTCAATTTTGGAATATAAGTTTGGTGTCGAAAATTGATCGAGTCATCTTACAAAAGAAACCTCATGGAGGAGGTGTTCAACAAAGATGCCTCCGCAGAGATTCATGAGTCACAGATATTTAAGGGATTCGAATAGTTCGAGGTTATCTCTTCTTAGTAGTAAAGTAGCATATTTGACATCTTTTTATAGTGAACTTTAGCGAGTAAGAATTAATTCGCGATAATAGTTAGTGAAGACGAGATTGAATCATTAGATATTACGATTAATATTGTTATTGTAAGTAATCATTTATCAAATTTGTGTTTCTAAATCATTATAATAAAAACATAATAAAACTAATGTGGAAATGAAATAGCGTACCTCCAACCATTGTTGTATAAGAATTTCTGCAAAGGTTTCTTGTTGAACTTTGGCACTTCTCGGCTCAGAACTCTCGCTTTAGATACTGTAGGAAACTCTTTTGCTTTAAAGAGATGATTGAGCCCAAGGACCAAAATCCTCATATATATAGATGTTCTTCCATTAAGAACATTTATTATCACCAACTCATAACGTTCAAGAATTAATTCAAATTTGTAACGTTTGGACCAAAATGAAGAACTTTATTGATATTAAATATTTAATTTAATAATAACGATTTTATATATAATGAATAAAAAATTGAAATCATTTAAACCATAATAAATGAAGAAATTCATAATAATGAATTATGAATCTTAATGAGAATGATTATATTATTATTAAATAAGATATTTAATAATAACTGTTACATTCTCTCACTTGCTCCATATGTTTATCTTAATAATTTAAATTAATCTTTCTCGAACAACTTTCTTAAGAAATAAATACATGAATCATAGCGATAAGTCCCCTAAGAGCGAGTATTATCATCTATGTATCACGATGTATTTAGTTTCTTAATCTTAATGTAGTAATATTAACGAATAAACCTTATATTTATTCTTGATATAGTAATAATATATTTTCTCAAAATAATACGTACATGAATGAGAAAATATCACAATATATAAGAGTTTTAATATCATTACAAAGTGGAACCAAGTCCCATTTTCTCTACATGATATTTGAATTTCAGAGGTGGCATGCCTTTAGTCAAAGGATCAGCAATCATCAATTCAGTGCTAATATGCTCAATGATTATTTTCTTTTCTTTTACATGTTCTCTTATGGCTAAATACCTAATGTCGATGTGTTTAGTTCGACTTTTACTTTTATTGTTTTTAGCCATAAAGGCAACAGCTGAATTATCATAGAAAATTCTTAATGGCCTAGAAATAGAATCCATGATTCTAAGCCCAGAAATGAAACTCTTAAGCCATGTGAAGTAGCCTCAAAATAAGAGACAAACTTAGCTTCTATGGTAAAAGTAGCAGTCAAGGTCTGCTTAGCGCTTCTCTAAGAAATAGCTCCACCAGCCATCATAAAAATATATCATAATATTGATTTACGAGAATCAACACAACCGACGAAGTCTGAATCTGAGTAACCAATCACATCCAGATTGTCTGTATGTCTATACATAAGCATGTAATCTTTGGTTCCTTGTAGATACCTCATCACTTTCTTTGCAGCTCTCTAGTGGTCTATACCTGGATTACTCTGATATCGACCTAACATCCCCACAATAAATGCAATATCAGGTCTAGTACATACCTGAGCATACACAAGGCTTCCTATGGCAGAAGCATATGAGATATTTTTCATTAATTTCCTTTCAAAGTTATTCTTTGGGCATTGATTCAAATTAAACCTATCACCTTTCATAATGGGAGCAATACTTGGTGAACAATCCTTTATCCGAAACCTTTGTAAAAGTTTATCGATATAGGTTTCTTGTGATAGACCTAAAATGCCTCGAGGTATATCTCTATGGATCTTAATGCCAATGACATAAGATGCTTCACCCATATCCTTCATGTCAAAATTTTTAGAAAGAAATTGTTTCACCTCATGCAGCAAACCCTTATCATTGGTTACAAGCAAAATATCATCTACGTATAAAATAAGGAAATATATTTTACTCCCACTAACCTTCTAGTATATGCATTGATCCATGGGATTTTCAACAAATCCAAATGAAGAAATCACTTCATAGAATTTAAAATACCATTGGTGGGAGGCTTATTTTAAGCCGTATATAGATTTTCTAAGCTTACAAACCAAGTGTTCACCAACACTAGAGGAGAAACCTTCAGGTTGTTTCATATAAACCTCTTCCTCTATATCTCCATTAAGAAATACCGTTTTCACATCCATTTGTTACAACTCAAGGTCAAAATGAGCAACTAATGCTAAAATAATACGTAGAGAATCTTTCTTAAATACATAAGAAAACATCTTCGTATAATCGATTTCCTCTTTTTGAGTAAATCCCTTTGCAACAAGTCTTGCCTTGTATATCTCAATGTTGCCTAATGAATCTTTCTTAGTTTTAAAGACCCATTTGCAACTTATAGCTTTTGCTTCATTAGGCAACTCTACAAGATCCCAAACTTCATTGCTCATCATGGAATTCATCTATTCTTTCATAGCATCATGCCACAAATTTGATTCTTTGCAACTCATGGCTTGTGAAAATATTTCATGATCATTTTTTGCTCCAATATTATAATCAGATTCTTGTAGATATACAACATAATCACTAGGAATTGCTGATCTTTTATTTCTAGTAGATCTTCGTAATGTTGTACCAATGTTTCCCCGTGGAACTTGTGGTTCAACTAGTTGTTCAGGAGTTTGTTGTAATTCATGAACTGCTTGATCTATTAGAATACTATTAACAACTTGTGGAATTTCAATGATTGGTTATTCAGTACTAGTTTGTGTTGGGAAATCTTGGTGGTGACATCATATGCGCAACGGAAGAACAAGAAAACAAAATCCCCCATTCCCAAAGAGATGTTCGTTGTCGTGCGAAGATTGGTGTGCAAAATTCGCGAAACTTAAAACTGCGTATAGAGTAGATTGTGTTACCTAGGGAGATCGTATATCCCTGTTTCCTTGTAGATCCTTAGGAGAGGGTGAAGGAGGTCAAGCGTCCTCCTCTTTAGCGGTGATCCACACAACAGTGCTGCGACGACGCTCCTCAAAACTCCAGGCCTACTCTGAGGTGGAGAGGGGGAGGAGAATAGGAGAGGCAAGCAAAGGCTAGCCTATGAGGCTCTGAATCCCTCCTATTTATAGAGGTCCCCTATCAAACCCTAATGGGTCCTCCCCTAGTGGGTATTGGATCTGCATCCAATAAGACAAGGTCTCCATCGGATATCTCATATCCGAACCTCTACTCATCGCAATGCCTACCATATGTGTGTGACCCTCTAGGCCCAATATCGATCTGGCCGTGAGTCATACCTATCAGAACTCCTTCTAACTCAGTGAATTATTATCTCTGTAATAATTTACTTGACTCATCGACTACGAACGTACTAGGTCACTACGCCGTAGTCCCCAGACGATACAGGGGAATCCAATCCATTGGACCTGTTTGTCCTCAATTACCGTGTACCTATAGTCCCTCATCCCTCTAATATCCCAGAGACCGTATATCGAGCATGATGCTGTCAGACCCATACGGTTTCTACTCGAGTCTCGCTCTAATCGGATTCTCCCGGAGAACTTTTTCTCTCTCAACCCGAATGACCCTGGCCAGGGATTTGTCTGAGCAAGAACACATGGGATATTCCTCTCATTACGCCGAAAGTGGATGATCCTCTATCGATACTCAATAGCCCTCGTAAGCTTGACTACCACTCCCAATGACTAGTTGTACTAGATCTGGGATAGCCAAACCTATAAGTCTGGTATCAAAGAGTGGAGCACTCATACAGGACATCCTTGGTGTCTCAAGTCTAAGGACCAGATACACCACTAGGACTATGGAATCGTTGTTTGATAATAAGGCATCATCAACCATCCAGCATTCCGTAAGCATATCAATCAGTGAACTCATTCTCCAATGAGCACCTGTACTGTATCCCTAGTGTCCTTACACGAGCGGCTATGAGACCAGCTGCATCCATCATATGGACGGATATATAGCACACCAG